CCAGCTGCGCCAGCGCGATACTGATCACTTGCAGTGTGGGCACGTTCGCACGTCTGTCTTCTTGCTTCTCCCCGTCCTCTGTCTGCCGTCTCCATGCTCCTTGTCTGGGAGCGGGTGTGTCGGGCCAGGGAGGGATCAGGCAGGGGAAGTTAGAACTAAATCATGACGTAGCAGCCGTCAGTTTAACCCTCATGGCTTACCAATGTTCTAATTGTGCCGGTCAATCTGGGAGGATTATTTTGTTGCAACTTATTTTATTCTTTGGTATTTTAAATACGTTCATTTAAAAACTAAAATATACAAGATGAACAAAAATGTATTAATAAAAATAAAAGGATTTGCTCTGTAAAATTTGGTTTCAGTCAAAAGGCTACATGTGGCCTTAAGGCTGCAGGCTCCCCGCCCCTGGACCTAACTGGCATTTCTCCCCGCTCCTGCTGTCCTCTTCCTCCTCCCAAAAGCGCCAATGGCAGGGCTCCGGACTGTGTGTACGCACATTCTTTTATGTGGCTCTGAGCCTTGGTGTAGATGGGGTCCATGAGGAGTAGTGTTGACCAATCTATAACCCTGTGAGAGACGAGCGTGCGCATTTATTTGGTAAAGAGCTGTTTTCTCTGGCCTGCATTGTTTCATTCGAGTCTTGTTTGGTTCCAAGTCACAGAAACCTAATTCAAACTGTGTTAGGCAAAAAAGAAAACAGAAGTGCAGAGAGACTTGGGGCTCGCACGATCCGGACGTGCTGCAGCCAGGGACCTCAGCAGCGGCATCAGGGATGCATCCCCTCTCCTGGCACTTCTTTCCCCCTTTCTGGCTGCTTCCTCAGAAGGGCTCTGTCTACATGGGGACAAAGACGGTCAGCAGCTGTTCCAGGCCTGCCTCCCGCCAGCTCAGGCGTCTATCAGAAAGGGAATGCTTTTCTAGTAATTCCAGCAACATTCCCAAGGTGGTAGGGCTTTCATTGTCCGGACTCAGGTGCAGAGTAACAGCAGCGTGAAGCAGAGCGGGTCACACGCCCGCTCGGATCCACGGGGGTCAGCCCCCGACCACGTGGACCAGGAGGAGGGAAGGGTGGGTTCTCCAGTGGTCAGCAGGGGTGCTGTTGAAAGAAGCTGCTCAGGCCAAACATGAGACGTTTGCCAGCAGATAGAGTCTGCACGGGGCGAGTTGAGTGGGCTCTAAGGGAAGACTGCTAGTCAAGAAAGGTTGAGGACATTAGGAAATTAGGAAAAGCTTCATAAATAAGTGTCAGGGACTCGGAGGACTAATATAGACCAAGCAGTTAGTGACTTTTTGATGAATAAAAAAGAGTTTCCTCATTTGTCTACTCTGTTAGACAGCGAAGATGTGGTAGGCTGAATAATGGCCCCCACGTATGTCCCTGTTCTAATCTCCAGAAGCTATGAGTGTTACTTTATATGGCAAAAGGGACTTTGCAGGTGTCATTAAAGTAAGGATGTTGAGGTGGGGGATTATCCTGGATTATCCGGATAGACCCAACGTAATGACACGCGTCCTCGTAAGAGGCAGGCAGAGGAGACGGAGGAGAAGGACACGTGATGACACAAGCAGTGACCGAGGGATGGGCTCTGGGATGGAAGGAGCGGCCGGAGCTGAGGAAGAAAGCAGCTGCGAGAAGCTGAAAAAGGCGGGGAACAGATTCTCCCCTGGACAGTCTAGAAGGAAGCTACCCGGCTGACATCTCAACTTCAGGCTGGTGAGACTGATTTTAGACTTCTGGCCTCCAGAACTGGAAGAGAATAAACTTGCGTTGTTTTAAAACACTAAGTATGTGGTAACGTGTTACAGCAGTAACAGGAAACTAATCCAGAAGGCTTCAGAGGGGAGAGCTGAGCTGGACTTGAGGATGACCTGGAGCAGGACGGGCAGAGGGTGTGCACGTGTCTGCAGGGGCAGCACGGGCTGAGGCACCGGGGGCGTGTGGGGACTGTGGCGTGGCAGCAGGGGCAGGCGGCAGGGGACAGGAGAGCCGCAGGATCTTATTGCATGCCATGGAGTTGGGACTTCCTACTGTAGCCCATGGGAAGTTCTAGAAGGCTAGTGACAGTAAGACCATGGGATCTGGTTCGTGGTTTAGAAAGGTCATTGCGGCGGTGGTAAGAAGGATGCAGTAGGTAAAGATGGGACAGGTGAGAACAAGACAGAGAAACCACGGAAAAGATTTCTGTAGTCGTCCCAGCACGGGATGGTGAGGACTGGGCTAAGGTGGAAAGTGAGAATGAATGAAGGGCCCGTTTCAGGAGCTATTGAAGGGCCAGCGTCACAAAGACCTAGCACAACCGGACGTGGCAGGTGAGGACGGGGACCAGCTGGTTTCTGGTGTCGGTGACCAGGGAGTCCCCAAGCGGCCTTGTGTTCCTGCAGTGAGGTGTGTCAGCAGAGGGAGGGAGGAGCTTGCCACCCAAGCTATTCCTGTGGGCTTGCTTGGACTGCACTGGCCTCTCCTTATCCCTTCATGAATCAGAGAAGTTATTTCCATTTGGGTATTGAGATCTCTCCTTTTGTTTTTGCCTATTTCTGATTATACAAGAAATCTGGTCATCATAGAAGTGGAACCAAAGCAGAGGCATATTACAATAAAAAGTAAAAGCCCCTCAGCCCTACTGCTGATAAGTAACCACTATTAAAAGTTTGGTGCCTACCTTTTAGATCTTTTTATGTATTTGTAACTATAATACAGATGATATTTTATGTTATAAAAGTGGGATCATACCATGCATACTGTTCAACAAATAGCTTTTTATTTATCATGCACACCTTTCCATGCCAGTACAGTATAGACCTACCTCATTCTTTTTAATGGCTGTATAGTAACTCCATGGTTTGGATATACCACAATTTATTTAACCATTCTCCAGTGTGCGGTTTGGTTATTTACACTTCTTTATTATTGTGAACAATGTAATAAGCATCTTTGAACATATGCCTTTGCACACTTGTGGAAGTGTTCCGAGGAGAGATTTGTAGAACTGGAATTGCAGGGTCAGAGGTATCACTATTTACAGTTTTGATAGAGGCTTCAAATTGCACTCCATGAAAGCTGAATGGGAAATACCAAAGTGCTAAATACATATTCATATTTAGTTTTCCTTTAAGTATGAAACATTATGTTTAGTGGATATTTGGGTGGAGAAGCGAGACAGGTGGACATGTGGGGAGAGTGGGTGAGGCAGACCCCATGGAGCAGGGGCGTGGGCCCAGTCAGGTCAACAAAGAGAGGGAGGTTCATCCAAACCCCTGCCTCCCTCCCCAAATCCCAGATGCCTGCTCATAACGTTGTGGACACACAGGCACACGTGTGCTTGCACGCACACATACGTGGGTCTGTAAGAGTGTTTGTAAATCCGTAAGGGGAGAATTGACATTTGAGCATATTAACATTAAAACTACAGTGCAAAGAAAGAGACTATAAATAATTTTTTGAAAGTGAGAGGCTTGAAAATATAATTTGCATAGCAGGCAAAAGACTGATATCTAGAATAAATGAAGAGTTCTTACACATCCATCAGAAAAATGGACAAGGGGCTTAACTAAGCAACTGACAAAGACATGCACATAGCTAGTGTGAAAAGGCTCTTGGTGTCCGGCACAAGTTAAATGATTGAAACTCTGAGGTCAGTAGGGTGTGGGGCACATGGAAAGAATTGTTCTCAGACACTGTAGATTGGGACTATGAATTAGTGAATCCTTTTTATGGACAGTTGCGCTGTGTCTAGCAATATTGCAAAGGAGTAGACTCATAATCTAGCAAAAGCACTTCTGCGCATTTGTCCTCTGAAGATACTGGTCCATATGTAAAAAGAAACAAGCAGAAGAATGTTTATTGTAGCACATGTAGCTATTTCAGTAGCTAAAACTTGCAAAGGGTGGAAATGTTCGACCATCCTTAGGAGGGATGGTAAACTGAATTACAGTACATCTTTGCCCATTATGTGATGTGGCACTTCAAAGAGATCTATAAATACATTGATATGAAAAAGATCTCAAAAAACTGTGGGTAGCTAAAATGATTCATTTATTCAACTAATAGTTACATTTGTATATGTGTGTATATTTATAAATTTCTAGAAAAATATCTGGAGAATAAATATGAAATTGCTAGCAACAGTTACCTCTGGAAAGAGGAGTGAGGTTGCAGGGTTTGGGGGTGGAAATGGGGGTGACATTTATGTTCTGCATCTAAGGAACAACCTGCCAAGCTTTGTTTTTGAAATGGCATAGCAGCGTGCTGAAGTGGAGAAAGGTTTAGGTACTTCCAGGTCTATGTTCTCTCTCTCATCTTCCACCCATTGTTCTCTGGCTTTCTGACAAAGGTGGAGTGAAGGTGAGTGTTGTGCCCAGCACACGAAGGAGAAGCTGCTTTGTGCCCTGCGTGTCCCTGGACATAATTTGAGAAGAGTCCACATGCTTCTCCCGGGCCAGCTCCGGCAGCAGGTTCCACTGAGGCTCAGCTGCCGCGGAGAGAGCTAAAAGCCTCTCCAGGTCACCGCTGTGGACCAGCTGCATGGAAATTAATTAGAGCCAGACCTTGTCCCCCGTGGCTCGGCTCGGGGTGATGCCGAAGTCATTAGCAGCTGTGTGCAGCTATAGCTTCCTTCCCTGTCTTCTGGAAATTTGTTTCGGCAGAGAGAGGCAGGCAGACCGAGCTGGTGGCTAAGGACAGTAAAATTTTAATTCCCAGATAGTTCGTCAGGGTCACTGGAGTGGCAGTGACCTCCAGAGAAGGGGGAGTTTTCCATCAAATGAGAGACAGCAGCGTGCTTATCCCCCGACCGCTCAAAACTAAATTCCCTTCCTTATAAACAAGCGTGGCATTCCTCAAGCACAGGGGGTGGTGACCATAGCAACAAATCATACAAATATTCCTTTTGTTGTTCTGTTTGCCTTTTGTGAAGCCAACCCCTTCCACAAACAATTTATGTTACCGTTTCAATTGTAACTAGCTTGCTTTCTTTCTATTTCTCTTTTCAAACTATACCTAGGAACAAAGAAAGAAGCACAAAAAGATCAAGATACTAGTAAACCTGCTGTTTCATCGCCTAAGAGAGTAGCAGCTTCAACCACCAAGCTTCATTCACCAGGTATTTAAGAAATCTAATGTGTTCTCTGGGGAGAGGACTTGAACTTGGAATTTATCTTATTTAGATGTCACTAATGCATGAAGTAATACCAGCCCATGTGGCGTGGGTGATTGTTCCAGAGCTTGACATACATATGCTGATGTTTTCTGACTCTAGATGAAATGAACCAGCTGTTGGCATCATTTTATCTTTAAAAAAAAAAAACCAAGATGTTATGCTACGTGTAAGTGGGACAATCTTGTCTGTATAGGAATGTCTGCTCTTCCAATATCATGTAGAAATAATTTACAATTGAAAAACAGACTTTAAAGATCTCACCTCAAGAAATAATATTTTCTAAAAGGAAGAAAAATGGAAATGATGGATATCAAATGACTTGTTAGTTTTTCAATGAAGAAATCACTTATTTACATTCATATATGAATAGGCTACAAAGGTTGCTTAAATGTTGAAAATCCTTTATGAATATTCATATTGTCATCTGACCCCTTCGTAGACTAGTATGCAATAGAACCTCAAAACATTTTCTTCAAGCCCAAAAATAGTGGCTATAATAGCAGCTAAAATTTGAGCTCTTACTCAACATCAACCAGGTGCTGTCCTATGCTCTTTAAATGTATAAGTTTATTTAATACCCACAAGAACTCTGTGAGACAGGTGCTATTATTCCTCCCTTTACATGTGAGGAAACTGAGGTACAAAGAGTGTCGTTAATTTGCTCAAAGTCACAGGTAGTAGTGCTCAAATCAAGGTAGTAGTAGAGAGCCTTGATTTGAGCCCAGGCAATCTGAATCCCAAATTTGCATTTTTAGTCACTACATTATTAACCTGAAAGCTTGGAGAATAGAACACTTATTAAAATTTCTAGTTAATTAAAAACTTATAGAAAATAGGCCAAAGCCACACATATGAGGGTCAGGAGACAAAGTCTGGTACTTAAATAGGGTCGGAGATCGGATCTGAGGACCCTACGTTAAGTCTGGAATTTCTGAAGGGCAACACCTTCACTGGATAAACTAGGAAGGAAATAAACCCCACGTGCAGGAGACTGGCCCATTGCAGCTTCTGCCCTGGAAGCAGCAGGGGTGGGGCGGGGGGGGGGAACAGCCCTCCCTTAGGAACCTGTAGCCACAAGTCTTGTCCTCTTGCAATTTAAGAGCTGAATCCACGCTACCACTGTGCTCTGAACATACAATTTAAAATGCTGTCGTACCTGTGGCCACTTAGCCGAATAAAATGTGAAATCGTTATACACACAAAGGAAACAAACCATCATGAATAAGGTCCCTGCATTCCCGAAGAAGAGAATAAAAATATTGTGTAATTTTAGACTTTGTTAAGTTAAAGTATTTGTTAACATTTCTAGGATAACCAATAAAATACAGTATATAGTTCTGAACCAGTGGAGTGGGAAAAGTTGGAAGGAGAAGGGGTTAAAAAATTCAATCAGTACAAAGGGTGGCAAGAGGGGGAGAAAGGAAAAATGCAGAAAGGAGGGAGGGAGAGAGAGAGGGAGATGGGAGAAACCGAAAAAATAAAATAAGGTATTAGGAATGAGCTCAAATGTCTCATAATAAATGAATTAAACTCTCTAGACTAAGTTAAAGATTTAGATTACCAGATAGCATTCATTTGTCGAACAGTCAAAAAGTATTTAAGTCATGTTGTACGCTATAAAGTCTAGCATTAGAGTGTTTCAAAGTACATGCCTAAAATATAGGGATATTAAAAATTTTAAAGTAAAAGGATGGAAATATTTATACCAAAAAAGTACTAAACTAAGGACAGTTTGTTGTGCTATAGTTGTGAAACATCTCTATTGTAGAATAATTTAAAAATACTAAACTACCCATATTTAAAGTGTCGAACTTGGTAAGTTTTGACAGGTGTACACACTGGTGAAACCATTACCTCAAGCAATAACACACATATCCAGTGTTTCCTGGGGCCCCTTGGTAATCCCACCTGCCTACCCTTCCATTCGCCCACCCCATCCCTCAACACTGACCTGTTCTGTCACTATAGATTAGTTTGTATTTTCTAAAGTTTTATATAAATGGAATCATATGTATACTGTTTTGCCAGCTTCTTTCACTCAGTGTCGTTATTTTTGAAATCCATTCGCTTGACAATAGTTCATTCCTTTTTATTGGTGAATAGAATTCCACTGTGTGGATACCACGATTTATCCATCTACCTGTTGATGGAAATTTGGGGTTTTTTGCCCCTAAGATTTGGCTATTATAAGTAAAGCTGCTATGCACATTTATACAAATCTTGCTGTGGACTTCTGCTTTCATTTCTCCTAGGAATGCAATGGCCAGGGCATATGGCAGCTATATATTTAACTTCTGAAAAATATGCCAGACTTGTTTTCCAAAGTGGTTGTACCGTCTTACGTTCCCAACAGTAGTGTGTGAGAGTTCCAGTTCCTCCACATCCTTGCCAGCCACTTGGTATGATCAGGCTTTTTAATTATAGACATTCTGATAGGTGTGTTATGTTATCTCATGTGGTTTTTTTTTTTTTTTTTTTTTTGAGACAGAGTCTCACTCTGTTGCCCGGGCTAGAGTGTTGAGTGTTGTGGCAGCATCAACCTAGCTCATAGCAACCTCAGACTGCTGGGCTCAAGCAATCCTCCTGCCTCAGCCTCCGAGTAGCTGGGACTACAGGCATGCGCCACCATGCCCGGCTAATTTATATTTATATATACATATATATATATATATTTTTGTTGTTGGCCAATTAATTTCCTTCTATTTTTGGTAGAGATGGGGGTCTCCCTCTTGCTCAGGCTGGTTTCAAACTTCTGATCTTGAGCGATCCGCCTGCCTTGGCCTCCCAGAGTGCTAGGATTATAGGCCTGAGCCACCGCGCCCGGCCTCTCATGTGGTTTTAATTTGCCTTTCCCTAATAACTAATGATATTATGATGTTGAATACCTTTCTATGTGTTTATTTGATAACTGTATGTATTTTTTGATAAAATATCTATTTCAACCTTTTGCTATTTTTTAATTAGCTTGTTTTCTTATTATGGAATTTTGAGTTTTTATGTGTTCTAGATATAATTCTTTTATCATCTATGTGATATGCAATTTTCCCCTGCAGTCTGGGGCTTGTTTTTCATTCTTCTAACAGTATCTTTTGAAGAATAGATGTTACTAATTTTAATGAAATACAATTTATAACTTTTTGCTTTTATGGACCCTGTTATCTAAAAAAGAAATTGCATAACCCAAAGTCACAAAGGTTTCTCCTTCATTTTCTCTAAAATATCTAAAATTGTAGGTTTTACATTCAACTCTATGATCCACTTGAGTTAATTTTTATATATAGTGTGAGGTGTGGTTTGAATTTTTCTTTCCTTTTTGCATAAGGATATGCAACTGATTTCTATTCTTATTGTTATTTCTTTTCTTCTGCTTATACTAGGTTTAATAGTTAAACTGATATCACTAGTTTGAGGTCTTTCTTTTTTCTAAAGTGTATGTTTAGTACAATAAATTTCCCTCTGTGTACTGCTTAAGTTACAACCCGTAAACTTTGATATATTAGATATTCATCTTCACTGAGTTCAAAATATTTTCAAATTTCTCTTTTTGATTTATTCTTTTACCCAAGATTATTTAGAAGTGTGTTGTTTAGTTTGCAAATATTTGGAGATCTATCAATTATTGATTTCTAATTTATAATTTCATTGTAGCTGGAAAACATACTTTGGGTGATAAAAACCCTATTCCTCTACATACAACACTTCTGGCACTAAATGGGTGGGTTTTCCACACCAAGAAATTCTCCCATTCCTTTGGACACCCATTGGGTGTCCTACAGTTTGACTCAATTCTGATGCTAACTACCCAGAGCTGGCACAGGTCCCACAGGTTAAGGGCTCAATCTCGCAAGACTGTCCTACACCCCAGGTGGCAATTGCAAGTAGTAAATGCTCAAGTTACCCACACTTGTCTCACCTGCCTGTAAACTTTAGGTGCTGACAACCACCTCCTCAGGTTGGATAATTTGCTATAACAGTTCACAGAACTCAGGGAAACATTTTACTTATGTTTACCAGTTTATTATAAATAATACGATAAAAGACATAAATGAACAGCCAGATGAAAAAGTACATAGAGTGAGGTCCAGAAGGGTCCCAAGCACAAGAGCTTCTGCCCCCAGAGAATTGGTATGTGCCACCCTCCCAACACATGGATGCATTCCCCTACCCAGAAGCTCTCCAAACCTCATAGTTCAAGAATGTTTTTATGAAGCTTCATCACATAGGCACGCCTGGTTATTAACTCAGTCTCCAGCCCTTCTCCCTTCCCCAGCGGGTAAGGAGAGGGGAAGCTGAGAGTTCCAAGCTTCCAATCATGGCTTTAGCTTTCTGGTGACCAGCCCCCATCCTGAAGCTATCCAGGAGCCGCCTAGAGTCTCTCATTGTAGCTAAAGTTGCTTCTATCACCCAGGGAATTCTAAGGGATTTAGGAGCTCTGTGTCAATCATCTGGGCTCAAAACCAAATATTAGAACAAAAGATTCTCCAAATGCCCATATCACAAGAAATTACGAGAGTTTTTGGAAATCAGTGTCAGAAATTGGGGGCAAAGACCAAATATATATCTCTTATTATGTCACAGATGACTTGAATCCTTTTAAATTTATCGAGACTTGTTTTATGACCCACAACAAGGTCTATCTTGGTAAATGTTTCATGCATACTTAAAAACGATGTCTATTCTGCTGTTCCTATGTGGAGTGTTCTGTAAATGTCACAGGTCAAGTTGGTTGATAGCATTGTTCAACTGTTCTGTGCTCTTACTGATTTTCTGTCTACATGTGCTATCAGTAGCTGAGAGAGGGTTTGAAATCTCGGATTATATTTGTGGACTTGTCTGTTTCTCCTTTCAATTCTGTCAGCATTTCTTTCCTATATTTTGAAGTTCTACGATCACATACATAAATTTTTAGTTTACTATTTTGATGAATTATCCACTTTATCATT